TCATGCTTGCGAAGGATTTGATTAGCATAAAAATTTGTTTTTGAAATTCCACAATATGTCTGTTTTACAAATTACCCTCCACAGCCCCTGGAGCTTATTTGATGGTATCGGCGCAATGACTCGCAGCTTCTGCACCTCCTGTCTTTAAGGTTAATTCACTTGCATTTGTCTTGACAGCGGTTTGACTGCTGTTGGCTTAGCACAAACATTTTAAAAATCTTGCGAAATGTTTTTTTTTTGCACATTTTGCTAGCAAATTGGCTCTGCCAGCTACTGTGCAACAGCTTGGGCTGTTGCTTTCGCCTTTCAAAAATAGCGAATAGTGGTTAATTTTATTCGCTTTAATTTTAGACTGCTGCGATTTGTTATTTTGTGATTTTAATTCGAAAAATTGTAATTTGCTAAGTTCTAATTACGTTCTGAAGCTCATACCAAGAATATTGAAGCCAGGCTAATCCAACTGAGCATCCCATGTTAGTGATGTTACGGCAAAGGCCGAGTTATGCTAGACTGTTTGGCTCTGAACTGCATAGCTCCCGGCTAATATGGAGGTGAATCCAAAGATTGCCCGGATTATCAGTGCAACCATTACTGACATTACAGGGGTGCTCTTAGAGGCCAGTCACAGCTATGCCAACCCCTTCGATTCCGAGCTGCATACCTCCTGAATTTGCTAAACATATCGCAAAATACCGTGTCGAAAATTATCATGCCACTCGCTCGTGGACTTGTTTTGTTTCGAGCTTTGTTTTGGCTATATTTTCACACATCTTTCGGCATCATCCAAAGATTCGGAGGTGCGCAAGCTCGTTTATCTATTCATCTTACAATAATCTAGCACAGTACCGTAATATCTTAAAAAAAAAATTTAAGCTGTGATTTTTTCTCCTTTTTTTTAACATTTTTGATTGTATATTTTTGGTAACAGTCGAAGACCGACTGCCCAAGCAGTCCGGTTTGGGTATCCCAAGTATTTCTAAGACCATCTCACATGTCAGACGCAGCTTTGCTCAAGCTTTTTTGTCCTGGACTGCATGCCTCCAGTCAATAATACCCACCGTCTGTTGCTCAAATTTGTGCTTTTAATATATTAATTGAAACTCGGGATGGTGGAAGGGGAAGGGGGAGGGGCGGAAAGAAGACGGTGTGGGTTCCAGATTACGAAACCCATGTCTTAGCCAATATTTTTTTTTTCAACTTACCCCGCATACTGCAATTAACTTAGTTGTTTTAGCCGAGCGAGCTCCATCCTTCTGTATGCATTTTAGAGCATTTTCCTCGGGGAGCTAATCTGCATATTAGCTGTGGGGTGCTGCCCCTCGTTCTTCCTTTTGTGTTTCTTTTTGAAACAAAAAATTTTACATAAATTTTTGGAGCAAATTTTGCTTAAATTGTAAGCGTCATCAGAGGGAGCAGGGGCAGCACTTTTCTTCAAATTATAGCACGGGCAGCGACGGCGACGAGAGTGCGTCCTCTAACCGTCTGGATGTGATGCTGCCCGAATGTACGGAGCAATCCGGTGGAAGTTGGATGCGTGTTCGCTTGAACCGGATGATTCCGACCGCTCATAAACTAACCTTGCTGAGAGGCATCTCGCGATCACGAAGGCG